TGTGCTTCTTGTACTCACACAGAGCAAATCCGAATAAAATGAGAAAAGGCAGCAAATATTTGATTTCACGCAAACAAATCCTATGTATCTCTTGATACGTATTTCGACCTAATAGGTCTCGTCAGAAGAGCTATTCATAGGGCTTCCCAACGTGAAAAATCAATATTTTTCTGCCTTTTAAGAAGCAACAATAACATGGCTTCAATACGGACGCAGTAGCGACATCTAATTACAACAATCGTAAAATAGTTTCGAAACACAATTCAGATTTCTGCTTTATAATCTGAGCCTTCTAAAAATTGCAAGGCAAACAGACGTTGATAAAAGATGTTAAAAGAGACATGGGGAATCTAAAATTTGCATTCCACGACATGTCTTTTACAACTAAGCAGAAATCCTTAGCGAATTGTGCTTCTTGTACTCACACAGAGCAAATCCGAATAAAATGAGAAAAGGCAGCAAATAGTTGATTTCACGCAAACAAATCCTATGTATCTCTTGATACGTATTTCGACCTAATAGGTCTCGTCAGAAGATCTATTCATAGGGCTTCTCAACGTGAAAAATCAATATTTTCTGCCTTTTAAGAAGCAACAATAACATGGCTTCAATACGGACGCAGTAGCGACATCTAATTACAACAATCGTAAAATAGTTTTAAACTATTTTACGATTGTTGTAATTAGATGTCGCTACTGCGTCCGTATTGAAGCCATGTTATTGTTGCTTCTTAAAAGGCAGAAAATATTGATTTTTCACGTTGAGAAGCCCTATGAATAGCTCTTCTGACGAGACCTATTAGGTCGAAATACGTATCAAGAGATACATAGGATTTGTTTGCGTGAAATCAAATATTTGCTGCCTTTTCTCATGAAACTAAAAAATTAAATCAAATTCTATCGTCTAAACTTGATTTTTTATTGATTTAGGAAAATCCCGACTTTTCTAGTGTTAAAAACATAAGATATTCAGATGACACCGTGATTATGACAGCAAGCTCTGCTGAACAACTCCAATTACTGCTAAACAAAACAAACAGTTTCTGTGACAAATATGGACTAAAAATGAATATAAAAAAGACCAAATACATGCTAATAACAAAGAGAACAAATATACCAACAAACATACATTTGGGAAATGTACCGATAGAAAGGGTTGATAAATACAAATACCTATGAACCTGAATTTCAGACAATAATGATCAAACAACCGAAATAAGAGCTAGGATAGAAATAGCAATAAATGCGTTTGTAAAAATGAAAACAATTCTCTACAACAAAGATCTTAGATTAGAACTGAGAGTAAGAGTGAGATGCTACGTGTTTTCGATACTGCAATATGAACTTAAAAGCTAGACACAAGAACACATAAATAAGTTACAGTCCTTTGAAATGTGGTGTTGCAGGAGGATGCTTAGAATAGCATGAACACAGAAGAAAACTAACACGGAAATATTGCGAGAAATGGGCAAAGAATGCGAAATAATAAACACAATAAAAATAAGAAAGTTACAATATCTGGGACACGTAATGAGGAGACAGCGATATTAACTGCTAAGGCTGATAATACAGGGAAAGATAAGAGGTGAAAGGAGTATAGGAAGAAGGAGAGTGTCATGGTTGAAGAACTTAAGGGACTGGTTTAAATGTAGTTCTATAGAACTCTTTAGAGCAGCAGTAGATAAAGTAAAGATAGTGATGATGACATCCAACCTCCGATTGGGAGAAGGCACTTAAAGAAGAAGGAGAACAACAAGCTACAGACAAATAAAAGACGTTAAAGTGAAAGTAAAAGATTGCAAAGAGATTGTAAACTCACTAATTTTTCAAACTATTATAGAAAATAAAGCAAAATAAATTTTCAAGCATCTGCATAAAAATTTAATTTTATTTACTTAATATATTTTTAATACCTTTTTATTCAAGTTCACTGTTTGTCTATCAGAATTAAAGATTAATGCATGCTTGAAATGTATTTTTGGAATATTTTAACAGATACTAACCTAATTAACCTTCGTCTAAAACGTTTTTCGATGACTTTGATCGCCTCTAATGTCGAGTGCAATTTTTTTTATATTAAAAATATTTTAACCGTATTGATATTGGTAATATTTTTTTAATTAAGGGAGTTTCGAATTGTTCGTAATCGCATTTTAATGAATATTGGAATATTGAATGTTTATGATTGATCGTCATATCAAGAATAATATAATGAATAATGCAAGATGTATCTTGTAGCAACAGCAGAAAAATTAATTGAAAATTATGAAAAATTAATTTTTAAAACCAATCCTTTTAAAATTTTAAATTTAGTACAGTAAGGCACATGTTTTTTTCCACTACTGCTTTATTCTTTTTTCTGTCGATTGGTGGTATCCCCCAATTTGCAACATTTTTTCATGGTCTCCTTATTGTTGTTCTCACTTAACTTCTCAGTATATTAAGCCATTCTCCCTTCTATTGTTCGTACCACATATTCATTATGTTTAACTTATCAGTAACATGTTTAGGTCTTCAATTTCTTCAAACGTAGCTGGGAAATGTTTTAATCCAAACGGCTTATTATTTGCTAAATCTAAAGCAGTGAAATATTAAGCTCTTCCTAGACTTCTCAGATCCGAAAAGATCTATAACGCTACTTAGTGTAATGTCCAAACTATTAACTAAACTACTAACAAACAGATTAATAACTAAGACAATTACCAGTCAAGAGATCAAGTCAGTTTTAGAAAAGGATTCAGTACAAGCGACCATCTGCTTACGATAAAAATATTAACTGAAAATGCCAACAAATATCAAATTCCAATGTATATGGCATTTGTAGACTTTGAAAAAGCATTCGATAAGGTGGTACATTGGGCATTAAAGAACTCTTTACAAAATGGGAGAATAGACTATAGATAACTCGATGCAAATAAATCATCGATCCGTGGTAACGGACATTTATCCACTTCGATAAAAGGATTGATAGTTATTTTGAAATCACCACAAATCCTAACACCTCCATCATTTTTCAAAATCTGTACTATGGGTGTTCCCCATTCCGAAAATTCAACTGCAGATATAATGGCCTCCTGGACCATTTTATCTAATTCCACCTCTACCTTGTTTCTTAAAGAAAAAGGAAACACTCTGGGTTTAAAAAATTTAGGTCTGGCATCTAGTTTAATAGTAAATTTTAACTGAAATTTATTTTTTTTTATCCTTCCATTGTTGGATATAGGTCTCCCCCAGTTCTCTCCATCTTTCCCTATCTTGAGCTGTTCTCTGCCATGTGGGACCTCCTTGTTTCCTGATGTCATCTTTCCACCTCATCTGTGGTCTGCCTCTTGATCTCTTTGCATTGTATGGACGCCACTTTCCGATGGCATTGTTCCATCGTCCGTCTTGGAGACGTTCATTGTGTCCAGCTCATTTCCATTTCAGTCTTGCTGCTTGTTCTATCGCGTCTACTGTCTTTGTTCTGGTTCTGATCCACTGGTTACGTTTTCTATCTTTAAGCGATATACCCAACATTTGTCTCTCCATCGCTCTTTGTGCCTTCCTTATCCTATCCAAATTGGCCTGTGTAAATGTCCATGTCTGTGCTCCGTAGGTGACCACCGGTATTATACAAGAGTTATATACCCTGCTTCGTAAGTATAAAGGGATTGTTTGATTTTTTAGTACGTAAGAAAGTTTGCCGATCCTATTCTTACTCGTCTCGATATTTCGGCTGTTTGATTTTCTTTTTTAGCTCTGATTGCTTGTCCTAGATAGATATACTCATTTACCTGTTCTATTTTTTCTGTTTGTATTTTTATTGCCTCTTGGTCTTCCGTGTTTGTCATTACTTTTGTTTTGTTGAAGTTATTTTTTAGGCCTTTTTGCAGTAATTTTTCATGAAGTTCATTAGCATTAATTCCAGTTCTTGTCGTTCCGAGGAGATCAGGAGTATATCATCTGCATATCTAAGGTGATTTAGGTATTTTCCGTTAATACATATTCCTCTGTTTTCCCAATCTGTTGATTTTATTATGTCTTCGAGGGTCAAGGTAAACAATATAGGTGAAATTATATCGCCTTGTCGGACTCCTCGTTTAATTTTTATATTATCCGTTAATAATTTGTCGTCCAGAATTACAGTCATGGTTGCGTTTTGGTAAATAACATGTATCAATTGTCGGTATCTTGAATCTATTCTACTATTGACCAGAGCTTCTTTAACCGCCCAGTGTTCAATGCTGTCGAAAGCCTTTTCATAATCTACGAATGCTAAGTACAGCGGAAGGTTGTATTCATTGATTTTCTCAATTAAGATTTTAAGCGCATGTAGATGGTCGATTGTGCTGTATCCTTTCCTGAATCCGGCCTGTTCCACTGGTTGGTAGTTATCAAGTTTATAGGTTAGTCGGTTGTTTATTATTCTTGTTAAGGTTTTATATAGTTATGACAAAAGGGAAATGGGACGGTAGTTGTTTAGGTCTGTTCGGTCTTCTTTCTTATGTATTAAGATTGCCTTGGCATTGTTTAGGTATTTTACCTTCAAACAGACATTCGTTGAACAGTATTTTTAGCATTTTTTTATCCTGTCTCCTCCTTCTTTTAGCAGTTCCGCCAGTATTTTGTCCTCACCGGCCGCTTTATTTCTTTTCATATCGTTTATGGCTTTTTCGATTTCATCTTCAGTTATTTTTGGTAATACCTCTGAGCCAACATTTATTAAATGTGCTTAATTTGTCAGAAACTACAGTAGGAAAATCTTTCATTAACCACCCCATTATTTCATTATTTTTATATGCTTCAATAAAATTTAGTTCCCTGAAACCCATATTATTAAAATAAACACCTAATAAAATTTCTAACTAGCAACTGGTGTTTCTCGATACATAACAAAAAAATCCAAATTATTTGTTTGTTTTGAAAAAGTTACTGGTAAGTTAATTTTGCCCTTAGGATGAACCTTGCCTCCCGAAAAATTAACTAACGATACATTAACTTGAGATAATGGTTGTGTCTTACCTATATGATCGATTTTCCAGTCGTGTTTCTGCCAACTTCAACGCATCAGTTTTCGCCAGAAGAGCAGCCTCCAGATCTCTGATTTCCTTCAGCACCTTCTCCATTTCTTCCCTCATTTTCAGCTGTTGCCATTCGATCTCATTTCGCACCCTCTGAATATCGTAGATGCGTTTACGCAAGATAAAATCCACGCGGTCCCTTTGAGCTAACATGTCGTTGCGGGCTCTTTCTCTTACCACAAAAAGAGATTCTCGAAGTTTGAGAGTATCAGCTAGTTCGTTGTCGGCTAGTTGCTTGGTGTTTCGTGTATGTTCCAGCCAAGTTTCATATGGAACAGAACTAAAAGAGGTTATATTTGATGTTAAATTGTTTGAATGTAATTAAATAAAAATGAAAAATATTTTCTGGGAGTAAATTTAGATGATTCCACTTAAAGGTACTGGTTTTTTCAAAAATCTGTAAACCGCATGGACATCGTTGAAAGAAAGGTACAGAGATGAACACTAGGTCTTATAAGTGAGACCAAACGTCGGTCTAATTAGAAAAACTCGTAACTCCACTTTACGAGATATTTGGATTCTTCGATAATGCTTTAGAACAGGACAGTGGACGCATGCCTGTAAAACCTTGGAACTACATCTGTTATAGTAAAGTTATGAAATTAAAAAAAATAAACCTCGTATTTTCAACGTGATGTATGGGCACCGAAAAACTCGTAAGTCCATTAATGCATTCCAGCCAATGTAAGTCAATTAAGACGAGCACTGTTGTCAGCAAACGGGGCACGAAATACTCGTAACTGCTAACCTAACCTATTAAAATCTAAACTCACAAAGTTCTTGTTTACAATATTTTATGTTAGTGCGCAGACGTGTATCGTTTGGAAAACAATTTTCTTTTATTTTAAAGTAACAAAAACCAATTTAAAATGTCTACTAGTGGTAATAGTAGAGGCAGACTTATGGTACAGCTGTCAATGAAGTCAAAAGAAAATGATCTCCCTGCAACTCCTATTGAATACAGGTAAGCCTTATTTTTTTAATACTAAATACAATCAATTATGTACCACTACTAAACGTAGCAATAATTGTCTTTTGTATATTATTTTTTCTTAGCACATTTTTTTGCAGCATGTTTCTTCTTTACAAGACTAACTCTTGTCCCTTATTCCGTTGTGTTGTGAGCGAGGCTATCGAAAAAATGTTTGGCAGCATTACCACAAAACTGCTTAAGATGTTTTAAGTCCTTCCACTTTTCCAAACTAATTGGTAACAAATCTAAAACGTTTTGTGCGTGCTACCTTAAATTCGTCCAACCAATCTTCAACAGTTTCGGCTTTGATCCGCTGGGTAATGAGGCCCATATTCGTCACACTCCAAGTATGAGTGACCTTTTATTGGAAAAATCATTTTAATTTTGTCAAGTCATCTTGTAGAAATAACTACGTAATGAATGAATTTAAAGAAAATCCACAAGGAAAACAATTCCTGTAGCTGGCTGTATACCACGTATCACAAAAAAAGAGGTCAATCTTTGTAAGTGGGTATATTTATTTAAAAACCCTTAAAAGGGCTACATCAAAAAAACACAAACGTTTTCGGACTAAATAGTCCATCATCAGGTTTAAAATCTGCCTAAAATAAGTACAAACCATTTAGTTAAAACAAACGTGATTATGAAATTTTGACTATGGTTAAAAAAGCAAAATGGCTATTATACTTACTAGGTTAAAATGCCTGAGCCACCAAAATACATGGGTAAAAACCCTTTAAATTACTTATAGTTATCAAAGATTATACATCTTGTTGTTAAAAAACTGTGATGTTCATTATTAAATTAGATATGACTTCAGGTAACATACATTGTAAAAAGTTTTGAGTTCCAGAGCCGGGGAGAAACCTCAACGCACGGAGAACAGCTGGAAACTGATTTAAAATATACCTATGAAAGGTGACATAAACAAAAATGTCAATGTAACATAGAACTATATTAGTTATACCTAGCATTACTACAGCCAAAAGATTCAAAAATTATTTTGATGATTTTAAAATAATAACAGCAATATTGGTGTTGGGATTTAAAATTTGGGTTATAATCGATGTGAAATCAATAATGGTGTTAAAGTCATGTTAGAGAGGATGACCTGTGTATTAGGTAACCTATGTTGCTTTTTGTCGTATGGTCTAAAAGTGTATTTTGTGATAGATTAGCTTATATATATGAAAATTATCCTTTTATGTTTATCACATCTAGGACAGGTAAAAATTTTAAATAGTAAATATTTAAAGCCAATATAAGACCTTGTATTTAAATGACTATTTAAAACTGTTAGTAGGCTGAAGAAATCAGAGTTATAACCTATGTGATTAATTTAAAATTGAAGAGGCTGAGTTCCTCAGAGACTTGATGAGAAATAGAGAAAAAGACTGAAGAAGGAGGAGATGGTTAAAGGAGAAAGGAGTTAGTCAACAATTAGAGATAATAGGGGTCCTTTATGCTTGAAGCATCTAGCACCCTGAACAAAATGTATTTTAGTAGTAATAGATTCGGTTTGTATAAATCTAAAATTTGAAATATGAATGTGCTATTTAGTTGTTGATCAAAAGAAGGTGAGCAATGTTGGAATAGGATTTTTTTTATGAGGGGAAAATTATATGAAATTTGAAAAACAGTTAGATGATGTTTGAATGATTACTGACTTTAAAACTATTGAGAACATGTTAGATATATGAATTGACCAAGAAATAATGAAAGAAAAGAAAGGACAGGAATGTGATGTAGATGTGAAGACTGAAGAAAATGATAAAATATTATGGTATGACAGATGTGGGTGGTTATAAAGTTAATACTAGGGTCGAAAAGTGATGAAGGGAAGGAGTCTAAAAAGTTTAGAGATTGGTTGTTTGAAGAAGCACAAATAATTGAATTTTTAATTAATTCAATTGAATAATTGAATTGAATTTAAAGAGGTCATAGTTTTTATTTTGACCTCCGTATGAGGCGCAAAATATAAATAAATCCCTTACACTGGAGTCTAACTGCAAAAATATAAAATTATGCAAAAACGAAGTAACTTCCTCTGATCCCTTAGTTGTGATACTTTCGGGGTAACAACAAAAGTAGGAATCGCCAGTAAACAGCACGTGGATATTAAAAGAATATAAAGTAAGTTGTCTTCTATAATACACGTCGCTGGTTGTAATGCTTGGTATAGGAAGGTTTTTTTGGAAATCCATCGCTATTAATTCGAACTCTTTACTCTTCATACTTCTTTTTCTTGCTTCTTTTTTACGATCATAGAACACTTCGGCCTTTCGCAAAAACCAATTCATTTTCTATTTCCTTCTTTCTTAATTCTTGAAGAATTTCCGTGTTAATTTCTGGCGTCGTTGTATCATTTTTATTTTTTAATAGTCCTGTTTTCTCAGCAGTATATTTAATGCAACTACTGCAGGTATGGCTGCGTGGATATCCAAATTTAATGTTGAAGTTATTATTAAAAATTTTACAATAAAACTCATATGAAATATCTGTAAGAGATAAAGCCTTATACATATTGTACATTTTGTTACTGTTAGACTGTCTCGCAAGTACACCACTGTAGATTTTTTTCTACTGTAATGGCTCTGTCGGCTCTTAAGGTTGATCTGCACCCTCGATTAATTTGTTTTCTGATCCTAGAGATGGCTCTACTGCGGCATGCTACTGTGGTAAATTTTTTAACTTAATTGTAGATTTCTACATGACGACTCTGTAATATTTTCAAATCCTAACATAAATTGCAGTTTTCTGTCATTATATCAATTGGCTGAGTTGCCAAGTTGTGTAGACAGTAATTTAATCAAATATGCTATAACTTATATTGTTACTAAATAGTAGACCAACTAAGCAAAGATATCTTATAACAACATCTTTATGTGTAATACTTTACTGTTCTGCTATGTCAGTCAGAATATAATATACCAAATTCATTCATTATCTAAACAATTTTACCGACAAAGAAATTATGTATGTTGCGGCTTTCTTTATGAGTATAGTATTACCATTAAATTCGTACATTACATTTTTGTTGATAGTTAAAAATTAAAAAATGATCTGGTATTATGATTATATAATATTTTAGTGGGAATTGACAAAAACGTTATTTAAATCTGTTTAATATTATACATATATTACTATTATGTCTTTATGGATTAATAAATTTTACTGACTTCTTCTTCGTTTATATTTATATTTCTTATTTCATGCTTCATTGTTCTGGCTTTATTGGTCTGTTTATTCTTATAATTTTTCTTTTAATAATTCTTACTTTTTCTTCATCTTTTTTCATAAGACACATTACTTCCGCTCCTTATGCTATCATCGGTTTAATTGCTGCTCTATGTATTTTTGTCTTTGCTTTTTTTATTTTTAAGTAGTGGGTGATATTTCCAAAACACCCCGTTCTTCTCCCGCCTTGTGTGCGTTGTGGTCATACGTTGGATGTATGATTTGGAGTGGTTGATGCGTATTTAGTTATTACGGTTAATATTTAATGTTTTATTTCAAATATTTTCCACTTGTACAGTTTTATATATGTTCTTATTAAAACATTTTTTGGTTTCTTACCGGAAGCTTTATTATAAGCAGAAACATATTATTTTTTCCTATTGGGACAAAACTGTAAATTCAAAAATTTTCAAAAAATTCCCAAGAATTTCTTATAATTATATCTTGATGCTGTAAAAAAATTAACAAAATTATATGTCTGGTTTTCCCGCTTTATACTTGGAAAAAAGTAGTTTTTTTGAGTTTTTTTAAAAACGAAAACATGAAGTTTGCTTAAAAGTTGTCAAAATACTTTTAGTCATCTCATACACCTTCTCAATTTTTTTCAAATTTTTTGAATTTGGAATTTATCTTTTGGGGGATGCAGATCAACCTTAAAGGAACTAATATAATTTTTTACAGCCGCAAATGTGGTCAAAGGCTTTGCACAATGTACGTGTTTATATGTACCCCTCATATCTGTAGGTGCCTTAGCAGTTTTATTTAGAGACTCCTGAATCGTTTGTAAATGACCTCGAGTAATGCCATGTAATGAAACAAAAGGTCTCATGCAAACTAGCACGTCAATACAGTTACTATGGTTATCAACCGGACGATGAACTCTTGCTTTATAAAAATATGCTTTATCGCGAAACTTGGCGTTTCTTTTTATTTTTTCGTGGTCTGCGGTTCTTTATTGAAGTCATGGATACAAAACCAGTCAAGTAACTGTTCTGCTCATCTCTGCTCGACATTCTATTAAATTCCTTAATAGTGGTATTTCTTTCCAAAAGTCCAATCTTTTGAAAGTA